CTCATGTCAGCTTTTTCAGATGCATCTTCGATCGTGGGCGGGTTTGGGCGGTGGAGATGCACGCTGTGGATGAAACGCGAAAGTAAAAGCCTTATCCGGGCTTGGGGCTTCTTTCAACGATACCAGGGGCGGTGTCCCCGGGATCATATGGGATGGTTCGTCACCGTGTGTCCCAGCAACGCATGTCGACTAACACAGAGCGAAGGCATCATGTGTGTTGTGCAGGGGGAATCCCCAGACACGAGCAGCAACTAGTTCGATATAAGTACGAGGATGATTAAGCTAGCACGCAGTGCTATCCCCTCTTCGAACAAAATTCGCTAACAACCCTCTTGAATTGTCTCTGTACGTATCAATTTTCTAGTTCCATTGAAGATAAAGAATGCGCGCACGAAGAGATAAAAGAATCCGTGCTAGCTTTTGTTTTTTTCCATTCGATCTAAAATGGATCGGGTTTCACTATCAAAAGATAACAGAACAACAAATATCTAAAGAAAGAACATTCAATGCAAAAACGAAAATACATTGAGGTTCAAAAGTGCCTTACACAATCCGTGCCAGATTTATCAAAATTCAAAACGGCCACGATCTTTGAAAACTGACAAGAAGAGAAACATTGCAAATTGTGAACACTCCCCGTACTCGCCACCGATGCAAGTTTTTTTTTTTCCGGTTACTCTCCGCTGGCTCTTTGGCATCGATAGTGAGAATGTGTAGCTAATTCTGGTTTCCTAATCAACTCAACCAGGCCAAGGGCCACAAACGGCGAGGTGGCATTGCCGCCGGCCACCGCTCCGTCGTCGCCGGTTTCGAGTTGGGGAAGTAGTGGGAGAACTTCTAGAGCAGCGCGAGGAGATGGGCTAAAGAGAAACTAAAGATCATGGGCTTGATGAGTGCTATCAGCCCCATTATAATCAGACTCGTCTCAATAAAAGATTATAGCCCATATGCTGTCCTTTTTTCCGCGGGGTGGCGGGCGAGCAGAGCGGAGTGAGAGACTGAAGTGGGGAAGAATGGCGCTGGAAATCGGCGGCGACGCCAAGAGGCCGCGGCTGCCGGCGGCGGCGGTAGACCACCTCTCGGCGCTGCCGGAGCCACTGCAGCTGCGCATCCTCTCCTTCCTCCCGCTCAGGTCCGCCATCCTCGCCTCGTCCCTCTCCCGCAGCTGGCGCGGCCTGTGGCTGTGGGTGCGCCGCTGGGAGGACGACGGGAACCCGTCCCTCTCCCTCCAACACCACCTCCGCCCCTACTCCACCCCTTCTTGCAACAAGCTCCTCGAGACCCTCGAGCTGCGCGAGTCTCTGGGCCGGCGCGGGCGAATCGACCGCTACTCCCTCGTCGTCGCGAAAACATGTTTTAGAGCCTATGCACCCGGGTACTCCTTATCCAACCACTCATTTCTGCATCAAGATTCGTGCAAATATTTTTCTCTTTTTTGTTTCTCTCATATAGAACATGTATTTGTACTTTCAACTTTGCAGCACAACAAAGCTTTCTATGTAGAATGTGGGATAAAACTTACAGATTTTTTGGTCCAACATAAATATACAAAATGAGATTTTTTTGATTAAAAAATCTTATTTTTCATATTTATGTCGGACAAAAAAATCTGAAAGTTTTATCTCACATTCTAGTTACAAAGTTATGTTGTACTGCAAAGTTTGAAGTTCAAGACATGTTTTATATGAGAGGAACAAAAAAGAGAAAATTCCATGTAATAAGGTAGTTGTGTAGCACAGATCTCAAAGCAACATTGGAGTGTTAGGATAGTGAGGCCCGGGTGCATAAGCTCACAGAATCTGCATTCCTCGTCGTCGACGTCCTCTCGATGCGCGCCCGCGGGCTCAGCCGCTACCTCGCCGCCGCTGCCCGCTGCGGCGTCGAGAACGTCCGCGTCGAGCTGCGGAGGACGAGTCTGGCGGACACGCCCCTGCTCTTCCCCTTCCCGGCGGCGGCCGGCCCCGCTCTCGCGCGCCTCTCGCTGCGGGGCATCGGGGTCGCCGGCCTCCACAGCAGGGCCGCCCGGCCGTGCGCCGCCCTCGAGGCCGTCCTCCTCCACTCCGTCCGCATCGAGACGGGGACCTGGCGAGGATGCTGGCGCTGTGCCCTCGTCTCCGCGTCCTCGGCCTGCGCTCCTGCACGGGCGTTGGTCGTGTCGTCGTGACGGCGGCGATGGGGCTCTCCAGCCTCAGGAGCGTCACCGTCGTAGACTGCAGCTGCCTCATTGGGGTGGACTTCACGGTGGTTTCTAGCCTTCGGTCCTTTCGCTACAGCGGTGGTTTCTTCTTCTATCTTCCCGGCGACGCATTATTCACCGACCTGGACATCCGTTTCGGCGTCAAGAAAAGCCGCATTGGATTCTTCAGAAGTTACCATGGATAATTAGCATACTCATATGTTTGAATTATGTTACGCTTGCACTTTGTCAGGTGTTCAGTGACTGGTTTGAAAGCCGTGTATGCTCGAAACTCGCTACGCTCACCATGTGCAGCAATGTCCTCTTTGTATGTATGCATTTCTCAGCTGAACTTCGGTTTAGTTTGTGATATTTGAAATCATGGACAGTTTGTTCACCTTGAATGCCATCTTAGGTTGTGTCTTCCTTGCTTAATGCAGCCTCACATGCCGGATCGGCCAAGATGTGTGGTGAATTCTTTCGGAGCATGACGAAAGTACAGTTGATTATGTTAGAAATGAAGGCCCCTGAGCTTGCAAACATCTATGTGTTCCTCAGGAACAGTGGCTGTTCTAATCTGGAGAGGCTTTTTGTGCAGGTTTAACACCCGTTCGTTTACAAAATTTATGGTTTCAGTTTGTTGGTAGTCAGTCTGTCATTTTAGTGCACTGACATGTTTATTGTATTTTTATTTAAATCATAATGCTTCTAAAGTGGTCACGATTTGTGCTTGCAGCTCCCTACTGCACCGAGCGGGCTCTTCGTCGATTCGTTTGACCATGTGGGGTTAGAGCCACCACCGGATATTTTGGAAAACCTCAAGCTGGTAAAGATTACGAATTTCAGTTGGAACTGCTTTGAGCTGCAGCTGGTGTGTTTTTTGTTGAGAAAGGCTAGCTCTCTTCGTAAACTGCTATTGATCACTCCCAGTTTGGTGCCAATGCATGTGCCTGGTATTCAGAAGGCAGACCTTTTGTTTCTTGCAGAAGCTATGGCGAATGGCAAAGTAACTCTCAGTGGGTCAGACGATGTGGTAACCCAGCCATTTCATTCAGATGTCACTGCCGGCTTTTAAACTTTTAGTTGCTGTTATGCCGCTACAGCTTGTATTATTGTAGCACCAGCCTGCCATCAGATGCGTTGTAACTGCCATGAGAAATTAATTTTGTATGCAACAAGGGTTAACATGCCATATTATGATATCAATTGTAGCAAGCAAGCTCACAATGAGCTAACTCATCAGTCTAATATATACTACAAGAACAACAGATAGAATGAAATGCTGCTACTCGCAGTTTATAACACTTAAGCCTGCCTCAGCATAGGTTACCATTTTACAGAGTCCTACTCGCAAAGTATATATTTTCGTTCTCCATGTCATTGGCATGCATTTTAATTATGATATAGTGACATGGAAGGAATATTAATGTGCTGAGAGCGAAAATGTATTGCTAGTCTGGTGTGGACCATCTTAATGGGCTTAGTTCAACGCTTTGAGTAAAGAGCTATATTTTGATTTATCTTTTGATATTTCTCTATGCCGCTGTGTACAGCCGACAAATGAGATTTCCTGGTTTCCAGTGATCATACTGTAACTCGAGCTTGTTTTTTGAGCAAACCACCCCAGATATTGTTTGCTACATGGCATTCAACCTTGGTGTTACACCATTGTCTTGTACTAAGGATTTAGTAGTTGTTGATGTTTTGGTGTTTCTAAGGTCATACATCAACTTGCTTTGAGTTCCCATTCTATTCTATACTTGTTGTGCTCACTCTATCTCTAATGCAACCTATTCACTCAGCTTTACTCCTTATTAGGTTCCGAGTGACCACCATTATGTGCTCCTAGTAAATATGATAGAAAATCTCACTCTACTTATTAAGAATTACTTATTCTTTTTGGGTACAACAGTATCAGCAGTGGCAGGTGGTCAAGTCGAGGGAATATCCAGTGTAAAGTGGTAAAAACCACGTGGACACCATGTTCTAAAATTCCAAAAAAATATAGTATTACCAAGAGATGATTTTCTGTAGACATGTTAAATTCCAAGTTCAAACATTGATTCATTATGAGGTATGAGAGAAACAAATTCCACAATAAATAGTGCCAAATAGTAGGCATCACTATGCATTGCCCTGTAAATTTTCCATACCTCGTAAAAAATTGGTGTTTGAACTTGAAATTTCACATGCCAATAGAACATCACCCTCTTATCATGCTGTATTTTTGTTAGAGTTGTGAAAAGTTTCAAACGTGGTTTTCATTTTAACTTGTTATCCACTGATATTGTCTCGATCATGGACAGGTCCTCCTCTGGTCCTCCCCTCTCATACATTTGGCGGCTAGGACCAAAATTGAGGACGGGGTTTGATGATCCTTACCTGAGTAGGTTTCATGTTTGGGGATCATGAACTGATGACCAATGACACAAACTGGAACGGATGTATTCTATCAGCTTTTCACAGGTTTCTCTTCTCACCTCCGATTGACGGATTGGTCCAACCATAGTGTAGGAACTCTACAGTTCTGAAGCACAAAGTTTAAAATAGAACAGAAAGTTTGCTACAACAATTTTTTTGAGGAACTATTGCTACAACCATTTTACAGAACACAGTCTTTTATTTGACAGGCAGCAGAACAAAAAGTTTAAACACACTACAAGCCGGAAAGTTCAGAATGCTGGTCTCACGCACCACTACTACTTGATGAACGACAACAACAGCAACACATGTAAAAGGATCATCAGCGACATGTCCACTAAAATAGATAACACACCGAAATTGAGCCACTTGCATCAACCAGAGTGATAAAAGAGAGCGATCATTATGACACTATAATCTTGAACTCATTAGGGTGGCGAATCTCATTCTCGGCCTTTAGCTTCTCAAGGCCAAGCTTCATTGCGGAGCATTCTCTATTACCAGAGACATACACCTCTTTCAGGTTTGTTAAGTGCTCTATGCCGTCAAAGGTGTTGTTATTGTCACCGATACCCAGTCCAAGGCTCTCGAGGGTTGCCATGGCTCCTTCCTCGAATCGCAGAACTTTGGGAAATTCATCACCAAGGGTCACATTCAGGCTTCTGAGCGCCGTAAATTTCTGTGTGCTGCGTGCAACGAGCTCGCTGCCACCACAGAAATTAAGCTGCAAAATGATGCTTTTCAGGCTGGGAGACTTGCACAGAACTTCGAATAGTTGGTCATCAACGAGGAATGTCCAGGAAAGCTCAATCTCTTCAAGATATGTGAGTGACCCGATCCAGGAGGGCAGCCCATCCATGCCACCAGCAATCCTTATCCTACGAAGGAGCCGTGGTGGTGGCGAGACTTGATGTAGAAACTTCAATGTATTATCCGTCCAGCCGGTCTGTCCCATGTTGAGAAACCGTAGGGAGTATATCTTGCTTAGAGAGAGGGCAAGCTCTGTGCGGACTGCCTCAGTGGACACCTCCGTGTCCACGTAGATGACAATCACTTGCAGTTGTTGCAGTTCGCCAATCTCTCGCACAACATCAATGTCGTCTGCGATCCCAACTTTAAGCACCTCGCGCAGCGCCTTCATTCTGGAGACACCCCTGGTCGGCATCCACAGATAGTCCCACCTATGGGTGTGGGTGAAAAACAGGCGCTCAAGTTTCTCCAGCTTGTTCACAGTTTCTGGAAGGCCTTTAAGGAGCGTACCACACACATCAAGCGTCAGTAATTGCTCCAGCTCACCAACTTCCGGAGGCATCACACTCACAGCTGTTCCCCTCAAGCTCAAGTACCTTAGAAGGTACAACCGGCAGATATCACCCATATGCTTGTTTTCTAGGCCCTTGCAGTCATTCAGGTCAAGTACTCTTAGCAGCGTCAATTCGCCCAGTTGATCAAGCAGTTTGTGCCCCTGATTATTGAGCATGATCAGTGATCGGACATGTTTCACGTTCATCTCCGTATTCCTCACTCCTTTTCTCTTGGATGTCAAGCCCATGGGTCCCTCTTCTTCGCCATGGATGGAGAGGCGGCGAATCTTATCATACGCCATCCCTTTGTACTGCCCACCTACAAGGCTAACAAAATTAGCCTCTAGGGATTTAGACACCATGACCTCAAGCATCATGTCGTGCACTCGACACGTCTCCCCGTTTCCTTCATTATTGCTTTCTCCCGGGCCCTGAACAATCATGCTTCTACTGATAAGTTCGTCATAGTAGGCTTGGGCAACCTCCAGCAAGGTCAACCCCCGCATCTCAGCAATCAATCCTTCGGCAATCCATTTGTTCAACAGACGATTCTTGTTGACCACAGAATCCTCTGGGAAAATGCTAAGATACATCATGCAACGCCTCAGATCATAAGGCAGATGGTTGTAGCTGAGTGTGATTATCCTCTTCATCCCCTCAAGGCTAGGGTGGCCCTCCATGTGAGATCCAATTGACTTGGAAACTCTTTCCCACATATCTTTACTCTCTGATGATTTGTAGTTTGCCAAAAGACTAGCAATGCTGACAATAGCCAATGGAAGCCCACCACATTTTCTCAAAATATCATCCATTGCCTTCTTTAGCCTGTCGGGGCAAGAGGCATCCATGGAGCCAAATGCTCTACTGAGGAACAACCTCTCAGAGTTTTCTGAATTCAGAGGCTGAATCGGATATATATAATCACTTTTATTACTGCATGCTTTTGCCACTGCTGCTATCCGAGTAGTCACCATGATTCTACTTCCACGGTGGTTTTCTGGCAGCTTGGCTTGGATTGCATCCCAGGCCGCTATGGTCCACACATCATCGATCACAATTAGGTACCTGGTTTCATCATATATGTATTAGAAAGTATTCTTTCGTGAATAAAAGTTAGAAAGAGTTGTGACTGCACTGCACACCGGAAAATTCTTCATACATGGGAAAAATGTTATGTTCTGTAGAATGCTTAATTAATTTTCTTAAAAATATTAACCAGTATGTTGGCACATGCATGCATCACGGTGCTAGAGAAGAAATCGGCGACATGCACAGGGAGGAGCGCACCTCCCTTGGCCTCACCTCGGAGTATTTGACAAAAAACTACCACATTTCACGTATCGGTCTTACAGAACTACCACATTTTGAAAACTGACCAAAAACTCCAGATTAGTACTGATTTCGTGACAAAAAACTACCAAGTTCACTTGATGACAGATTTAATCGTTTTAAAAGCGAATCTGACAGGGCGCCCCGTGACAAAAAACTACCAAGTTCACTTGATGACAGATTTAACTCAGATTTACGGTTAAATCTGTCATCAAGTGAACTTGGTAGTTTTTTGTCACGAAATCAGCACTAATCTGGAGTTTTTGGTCAGTTTTCAAAATGTGGTAGTTCTGTGGGACGGGTACATGAAATGTGGTAGTTTTTTGTCAAATACTCCCTCACCTCGTGCATGTCCAGGCCGGTGCTGCGTGTGTCTCGCCGGTGACCTAGAAACCCGCGCCTGGCTCTCCAGCGCGCACGTCGCGTCGCCGTAGCGGAGTTCAAGGTCCGCACAGATCGGGTACGACGGCCAACCTGGGCACTACGCTGGGACTCCTCACGTGCGCTCGAATATGTTGCTAGTCGCGCTGGGTCCGGCCATCCTGTCCGCACTCGGGCGGGCGGGCAGGGAGGTACTTGTGATGGAATGGATGGGGGTCGTTGATGGGTCGTTTGAAAGATGTAATACCCCCACGTTCCCTGTTATTGGCAACCAACAATCCTCAACCGTCATTCCCATCCCTCGACCCCGTCGACCGGAAACTTGGCAACTATGGATCGACCTAGGATGAGAACACAAACCTACCTATGCTGACATCGGCATGAAAAAATTGGTGGTCACTACTGCGTCGGGAGCGGCATCACTAGGGTTCACCGCTTAACGCGTCCGAAAGTCCAGAGTTCTAATGAGTGGTGGCCCCTTGCTTTTGTTTTGCTTGCAGAGAGCACATTCCAGATTTCCAACCACCGCCGCTGGGGACCGAGACGATGAGATATTTCCTCAATTCCTTGAGGAGTTGTGACCCCATGTCCAGTTGCTCTCACTATTCCCGAGCCATTCCTCTGCATCCCAAGCATCGCCGTGACCTCGCCTCGTCGGTGAGCTCCCACCGCCGGTCTATGTATTTTATTTCCACACAACACTTCGCTTAAAAGGGCTGGTCCCACCTATTACCAAACTTGAGTTTAGTTAATCAGTATTGCTAAAGCACATCTAGATTATGCATTCAATGTCGTATTGCTTTAAATTTTGATTATGTTTATTCCCTAATAAAACTTTGACTGATCATATCTTGCTCTTTTTTTATCCCAATGGCTGATTTTTTTGCCCTGGTTTTGTATTGAAATGCTCTTTGCGGTGCGATGCTTGCAGGAATTATCTTTACTATGTTGTTAGGTAGAAATATTTAGCTTATGTGCTTTATTAACATTAGTCATTATTATTTATTTAAAGGGATACAATCTTGATGCTGAACATGGGCACCCCTACAACCCCCTCTGGTCACGGAAACCTTTTTTAACCTATGATTTCTGTGCCATGAAAAGGGTCTTGGTGATATGCATGATCTTGGAAAAATTAAAATGACTATAATTTGATTTATTGAAATATTCTTGAAAAAGTATTTTGCTAAAGGAGAAATATGAAATTTGTGTCACATTATATCAGTAGCATGTCATGTCAAGGACAAAAGTATTTTGATGTTTGCATCATGCCTTTGCTTTGATTGATCATATGTTTGTGATATGGTAATATTGATTGATTATTGTTGTTGAGATAAAAGCTAGCTGAGCTTTATTATTTCTACACAACAGTCTTTTGCTCAGTTGCGCTTCTGGCGCCACCAATTAACTTGGCTTGGTTTCCACACTTGGTATTTCATATATGTGATGATATTCTTCCAACTTTTGGCCAATTTCCTATGGAAACACATTAAATAAAGGATTTCACAATTCTTAGCATTCATTAGTAATTAGTGGCAATAACGAGGTGATTCTCTCAGAAAATCCAAGATTAAGCGGTTTAAACAATGGTGTGATGACTGCAAAATATCACTCATCAGTTCGGCTGGAAGAAGTTCGAGAACAACTTGGGGACAGCTTGGATGGCGTCTCAACGAGGCGGTTATTGATCCCGGAAAAGTGGAAATGATACCGAAACCACAGATGTTGGAAAGATTGTGCAGAGGGCGTGATGTGTTGTTGCTGGAAAGTGACAAGCCATCTACATATGTGGAAGCGATGGTGAGCCCGGATCCCGAAGATGGCTAGAGTCCATGAGGTTTGAGTTATAGTCCATGTATGACAATCAAGTCTAGGACTTGGTTGATCCGCCACCCGACATCATAGCCATTCGGTGTAAATGGGTCCTTAAAAAGAAAATCGATGTGGATAGAAATGTTCAGATCGGCAAAGCTCAGCTTGTCATGAAGAGATATCGACATGTTCAAGGAATTGACTACAACAAGACCTTCTCGCCATTTAGGATCATTCTAGCTATAGTTGCATATTTTGATTACAAGATATGGCAGATGGATGTCAAGATGGCTTTGGAACATGGAAATTTAACCGAGGATGTATACATGATGCAACCCTGAGGGTTTTGTCAATCCGACTAGCGCTTTGTAAGGTATGCAAGTGAAAGAAATCCACTTATAGGTTGAAGCAAGCATCTCGGATATGGAACATTTGTTTCTATAAAGTTGTGACCGGTCTCGGTTTCATGAAGAACACGGAAGAACTTTGTTTATACATTATATTCACTGGGATCTTTGTAGTTTTTCTAGTCTTGTGTGTGGATGACATAATGCTGATCGAAAATGATGTTTCAATGCTGGACTCGGTTAAGGAACCACTGAAAGGAAACTTCTGGATGAAAGAAATAGGTGAGGTGGTTTACATATTGGAATGAAGATCCATAGAGATGGATTGAAGAAGTTTCTCGACATGAGCAAGAGCACGTACATTGACAAAGTGTTGAAATATTTGAACATGAGAAAGGCAAAAAAGGGTTCTTGCCGGTCTCACATGGCATAAGGGGGAGCAAGAATCAAGAGTCCTTCGACCAATGATGAGCGAAACATAATGAGTGAAATCTCATATGCCTCAGTAGTCAGATCCATCATGTATGACATGCTAGTACCTGGCCTGATGTATCCTTTGCTCTAAGTCTTACGAGTAGATAATAGGCTAACACATGTTAAATTCATTGGGCAGCGGTGAAGAATATTTTGAAGTACCTGAAAAGGACAAAGGCGATGTTTCTGGTTTATGGAGGTGAGGAGGAGCTCGGTGTAAATGACTACATCTATGCTAGTTTCCAATCCGAGTAGGATTCTTGTAGATTGCAGTTTGGATATGTGTTCATTATGAACGGAGGAGTAGGGAGCTGGGCTAGTTCCAAGTAAGATACAATGGTTGACTCCACAATGGAAGCCGGGTACATTGCAACTTTGGAAGCCACAAAGGAAGGTGTTTGTACTCGAAAGATTCTCGAGGATCTTGGTGTTTTCTGGGCTCAGAAACCTGTCGGACCTTTATTGCGATAGTAACAGTTGCGTGGCACATGCCAAGGAGCCGAGATAGCACCGCAAGGCCAAAAAAACAATGTTATTATCTAATATAAGATATCATAAAAGATGGTGACATGAACATATGCAAATGTCACATTGATCCAAATGTTGCAGATCCACTAACCAAGCTTCTTCCACAACCCAAGCATGAGGGCCACATTAGAGCAATGGGCATTTGATGTCTATTTGATTGACTCTAATGCAAGTGGGAGACTGTTGGAGGTATGCCCTAGAGGCAATCATGTATGACGATATTGCCTATTTGTTGATGAATCAATATAATCGTCGGACGATATCAATGATGATGTCGGCAAGTGCGTGACCTGTTTGTTAGATCTTACATTGTATGGTACATTCTATGTAGTCCCTACTAGAAAGTAATGTGTGGAGTCACATCTAACTAGACCCGCATGCAACCGGTAGATGGCTTGATCTTACAAGCCATGTAGCATTAGATGCTAGTCGGGCTGCATCGGACTTCCATATGAACTCAATGCGACATCCATAAATAACTAAACTAGAAAACAATTATATATGGAAACATGTTAGCCAACAAACAATGTGCCTTTTGCATTTGAAATGGGAATAAGATATGTTAAAAATAGTGAATTTTGTTTTTTTTATGAACTCCAAGTGAAAAAATGAATAGCCAAACTGCGGAAGTAGTATATAAATATTCCTTCATAATTAGGTGTCTACATAAGACAACTATTTTACCTATAAAGTAATAAAAATTGAATCATATGCACTCTCCATATGGGTTCCATGATTAGCTAATTTCTGGAAGTGTACTTTTTACAGAAGTTATACGAAAAACTAATGGCCAAAATTTATGTCCGAAGACCTACCAAAATGTTTAAAAAAATATTATACTATGTAATAATGTAGCAAATCTAGCTGTGCAAATGCGCAGGTCACTCAACTAGTGTTTCTTAATTGTACTATAACAAAGTGTGGATTCCTGGGAAAAAAGTTGCAGGGAAGATTAAATTTTTTTTGAACATTGAGTATTAGCTAAGCAAGTACTGCTGCGTAATGTGCAGTGATATAATAGAAAAAAAAATTGCATTTGATCGGAAGTTCCTAACCTCTTGTCCTGTAGTGTCCTCGCTAGCTCCTGGGCCAGCTGGTTGAGATTCATATTGTCGAGGCCGCCAGTGAGAGATTCCTCTACCTTGATGCCTTCCTCATTATCTGCTTTCGGCTTCACGATCTGCTGAATAACACGCTTCAGAAGTGCCTCCATGTCCTTCTTGTCGTCGAAGGTCTGGGACACAGAGATTTGTGCTTGGCGTTGGAACTCGGTCTCCAGCTGCCGGCACACCTCCATGGCCAGCGTAGTCTTTCCGAGCCCTCCAAACCCCACGACGGAGAACACCTTAAGCTTCATGTCACTCTCTTGGTCATCCGCCGCCTTCACCTTCTCAGCGAGGATGTTTGCCTGCTCCATGATCCCGACGAACTGGCCAGGGTCGTTGGCAGGGCGAAGCGCATCCGCGGATGCGGAAGCTGCCCGTGGCATGGGGGCGAAAGCCAAAGAAGGAGAGCCGCGCAGTGCCTCTCTGCTGACGCCGTACCGCGCGTGGCGCTCGCTGATGGCAACCGCACGGGCGCGGAGGTCCTTGATGTCGCCTGCTAGGCGATGTCGAGGAAAAAGCGTGGCAAGCACGCGTTTGGACCAAGCGACAAGGCCGTCGCTACGCCGGCACCTGATCCGGAAAATGTAGAGGTGGACGCAGTCCTCCGAATCGTACGCGAGCTCGCGCACCTGCTTCATCCACTCCCGGACGAAGTGGTCCACGTCGCCCTCGTCAGCTTCGGAGTGCATGCGGAGGATGGCGTTCATGGTGGCCAGCTCGTCTCTGAGCTCAGCCACCTCGCGGCCGACGCCGCGGAGCTGCCGGTACTCCTCACCGACCACCAGCCCAACGGTGGAAACAAGCTCCGCCGCGCCTTCCATTCTCTCTCCGTATTCTCTCTTGATGGCTGGATATGCAGATCTAGTTCGAGATACTCTTCTAGCTATGAAGGGGACATATATACAACGCAGACATTAAAAGAGGTAGCCTCGTACGTACTAGGAGTATATTGCAATGTTCACAGCCAACAGCAACGGCGAAACGCCCACGTGATCGACTATCGAATACAGCATAGTCTTTGTATGGAAAGACACGAAATGAACTTAGAATACTGTCCATCGACAGGCTCGAAATATTCGACCCGCCAATGTTGATCGATCTCCTGTCTCTTTTGTCAGTTAACTATACGGTGCCCCCCACGCATCTATGTCGCTGTGCTTATCTTTTAATTATAATCTTATATATACATTAGCCCCTCTGGCAAACATTTGTAATTTTAGAAAAAACTTGTAGCCTTTGTAGATATAAGAACACCTATTTGATTATCATTTTGTCATATACTCGACGATACGCACCCTGCGCATTTGTTGCGGCCTGCGGAAATATTTGTTAGAAAAAGAGATGCTATAAAAAAACTAGGAAAAAAGTTTATACACCCATTGTTAGTTGTTTGCTGACTTGCTTTTCGCGGGCACTCAACAAACAGTGCATTTGCCGAATTTCGTATAAAAACATTCAGCAAACAAACGAGATTCCATAACGCAGGGCATCGGTCAAGAACGTCATGAAAACAACCAAAACAAATGGAAGATTCGACCCCTGTATGTCAATATATATGTTGTCTCTTTTATCAGTTTGACTATATGCATAATGACCTACGCACATCTATGTCGTTATGTAATATGGATGCATGCATCTTACTGATGCAGAGGCCGGGGGTTATCCTCCTTTTCAAAAGAAAAAGAAAATCTATGCCATTGTGTACCAGCCAAGAAGCCCCCTCCTCTGCCAAGCTTAGTTTTCTCCGCCTCCCGCCGGCTCCGCCGCCGGAGAGCATATCGTGTACTCCTAGGGATGGAGTACTCCGGCTACTCCCTGCACAATATAGCCCTTGGATGAAATATGTAGGTACAAGATGTAACCTTGATGTCCCCATCCAACAAATTTGCAGAAAGCACCCCATACAAGGACATAACAACTGTGACGTTTCCATCATCTAACTCCAAAAGACGCTGCCCCCAGTTTTGGAACAGAAGCACCACGGACGTCATGTATCTCTAGTAGCTGATAATTTCCTGATGCTTTCAGCATCATTTACATATAAAGATGACAGCAGATATTTCTGCCGGGGAAAAGAGCTGCATGGTACAACAGTAGCATGAATTGTTCAAGATAATATACAAAAACAAACACATATTTCATAGGAAGTGCACATCACAAACATTCAGCAAGCTGATTTAACAAGGTAAAGCTAATTTAAAGAAATAAGAATTGGTAAATCCATGAACAAGATTTGTACTGATAAAATCCACACCAGAAATAAGGCAACAAGGTCAGGTGTATTAACCTACCAGCAATATAAACCTATCTACCAGTTACCCGCAAAAAAAAAAACCCTTCCAGCAAGCACATAACTAGAGTTGCTATCGAAATATTATTTACAACCCAAGGTATAGCAGGTACACATACATTGCAGCAACATATTCAACTAGTGGTACAGCTGTAGCAGATATCTACAACAAATGAACTAGGTTGAATCACATGAACGAAGGTATTTATCATCCTTGGTTGTGCTGCAAAATGTAAAATAAGTTCAAGTCAGAGTTTCAAAAAATACTCCACATGTTTTAATCGACAACGAGCGCAATGTAATTTTTTTTTCAGGTGCCACGTCCAAAGACCTAATACTATTCACTATAAACCAAACCTATGGTGGTTTTAGTTCAATGGAAATGCTGAACAAATACATAGTGAACTCTTGAAATTACTGAAGTGGCACACATTAGAAATTAGTCATGTGCCAACGTACAGTTCACGTTCAGGTGCTTGAACAGGTAGACGAAATTACTTTGTCTCATGTACAGTGTCAAGCCATAAGTTTCTGAAATTTCACAATCACTAATTGCTGGAACATCTAGTCCAAGTATCAGGTCTTTTGAGTGAGTAGTTTTCTTTGCGCATGAAATCGCCACACTTTACCCAAAATAGAATTAGCTACATCTCAGGAGATCAGCATAAAAGAACAATAGGATTAGAACTAAAACGCACAATAATAAAAACACAAGGTCGTAAGATTGAGGGGATTTCCATCGTGAAGGACTGAATTCAGCACAGCATACCTGAAGAGTTCAGTTATCTTCTTCGGCGGCGACGAATGGCAGAGCTAGGTGCCGGGTGGGGTGAGGTAGGGAACCGAGGTGGAGAATGGAAGGGGTGGGGATGGGGCGACTGTTCCGTTGGACTGGTTCGCCTGACGTCGCAGCGCAGCACACGGCGAGGTCCGCCGCCGGATCCTGAACCCTGGTCTGCTTGTGTTCATTCTGTTCCAAATTGGGGGCAACGCATTAGGTGATGGGGAGGTCACACCTATTATGTACTAACACGGGGTGTTTTTTTTGCAAAATATGAACGGTGGGGCGCTCCAGGTGTATCCTGTGCCTACATTATGAATCTAACCATCCTGCTACGCCTGGTGCAGCCGGAGCACTCATTGAGCTGGAGCACAGGATATTTCCCCTCCGCCGCCGTCCGCCTCATCTCGGTGCCCTTAGGGTCATGGAGATGCGGTGGATCCCTTTCCTTGCCGGTGGGAGAGGATTCCATTTTTAGATGTTACTTTGAGTTTTGTTAGGATTTGTGTCCTTCTCAGGAAGGCTCAACGGCGACAGCTCCCTGAAGATGGAATAAAGTTCTCCCCGCCTAGGCCCCGTTCTGATGATGCGTCTAGCTTTGTCAGTGGGCGTGTGGAGATGTGTCCCAGGCAGATCTATCTTTGGTGGATCTGCTTGGATTTGTCGTGATTCGTCTATGTACATGTGTATTCAGATTGGATCCTTCCGATCTACGCTACTCTTCATTGGCAACGGTTGTTGTTCTGTTACGCTGGTCCTATGGGGCCTTAGTACGGCGACTTGTTGACTGTCTACTACAACAAGTTTTGTCCGGCTCTGATGGGGAAGGGGCAATGACGGTGGAGTGCCTTCGGCTTGTTTCAGCTCTTGTAGTCGTCACTACGTGGTCTATGAATCTGGATATAATTTTTATTATTTCTGGTGTTCGTTGTACTGCCATGATTGGAGATGAATAGATCAGAAGTTATCTCGCAAAAAAAAAGCATGGGAGTCATTCTAGTAGTTTATTAATTTATTATTTCAATTTATCGTATATAGTAGTTCTATAATTGTTCTTTTCAACTATGAGTGCACTCAAGAAAGATCGAAGTTCTGTATTGTTAGACTATCTTTGAAATGAAAGATCTTGTACCTCCTCCTATCTATATTAATTGACACTGCTATAAGTTGTACTATAGCAGCGTCAATTAATTTGGATCGAAGGTGGTATTTTTCTAATGGCTGCTCTTTGCAATTAGTTTAGCTCTCCAAAATTTCTTTGAATTGAGTTTCTAGAATTTGATTTATCAATGTTGGAAAAAGATTAAGCGTCATGCGTTTGTAAAATCATTTTGTTTCTTATATTCATGCTTTCTAATGGGGATAGACAACACAAAAGTAAAAACAGATAGCTCTATATCATATAGCAAATTGCACAACCAACAGCAACGGCTAGACGCACATGATCTACTCTTGAATACTGCATAGTTGGTATGGGAAGACTCGAAATGAACTTAGAATACTCTCTACCAAGTATCGACAGGCTCGAAAGATTCGACGGTCGTATGTCGATATGTTATCTCTTTTATCAGTTAACAATATGGTGACCCACGCATCTATGTTATATTTTTATAATCTTATATATTACTAGCCCCTGTGGCAAATATTTGTAATTTTATAAAAAAACTTGTAGCCTTCGTAGACATAAGAACACTTATTTGGTTATCACTCTGTCATATACCAGATGATACGTACCATGCACATGCTGCGGTAATATTTGTTAGAAAAAGAGGTGCTAACAAAAGCTATGAAAAAAAGTTTTATGCCGATTGTTTAGTTGTTTGCCGACATACTTTTCACGGCCACTCAACATACAGGGTCTTTGACTACTAGTGTATAAAAATAATTGGCAAACAAACAGACTCGACAACGTTGGGCGTCGGTCAAGCATCTCACGAAAACAAGCGAAACAAATGAAAGATTCAACCGCGCATGTCGATCTGATGTCTCTTTTATCAGTTTAACTATATGCATGGTGACCCACACATCTATGTCCTTTAGTTTATGATTTTATAATTCTTTTTATAAGTTATAACTAGCAGAAGTGGCCCGCACAAATGCACATGAATTGTTCTACTCCCTCCTTCCCATAATATAAGAGATTTTTTGACACTAGTACTAGTTTATTGATTTATTATCTTAATTTATTTTGTATGGTGAAAAGAACTTAGAATACCGTCCATTGACAGGCTCAAAATATTTGACGGTCGTATGCTGTTCACCTGTCTCTTTTACTTAGAATATCTGTTAACTATATTGTGAAGCAGGCATCTATGCCATTGTGCTTATGTATTTATAATCTTTAATGTTAGCCTCTGGCAAACATTTACAATTTTAGAGAAAACTTGTTGCCTTACTACACATAAGAACACTTATTTGGTTATCACTTTGTCATATACACCAGTATAGAAAACGGTGGGGGTGGAGGTCCTCGCACAGGCTGCAGGGTGTCGCGCCGTCAATGCAGGGGAGCTCACTGTGTGGTGGTGCGGGAGAGGGGATTGAGTCAGCGACAAAGGCGAGAGGATGAAGAAATAGAAAAAAAAAGAAATATGCGGTGAGAAAGAGATAGTGAAGGGCGTCTAGCTTGGGGCTCACTAAGCACACAACCTGTCCCGCATGAAAAAGGCGAGTGTGCGAGGCGCGACCGACTCAGCGCTCGGCCGGTCGACCGGAAGGAAACGTTTTGCATTTGCCTTGGGGACAATAGT